GCATTTCATCTTAGTATGTTAGGTTATTTAACGTGATAAACTTTTGGAAATAATGAAAAATGGAGTATGTTAAAGCATATAATGAACAGTTTTTTTTGGATAGCTAAGACTGGGACTAGAAGTCTGCAGAAAGAGGATACAACCTTGTCTTAGTGTCTTTGCCACTGACAAAGTTGGGTATAGGCGTCTTTGTTGTCAAACCTGGTATGTTAATTGCGTTCTAGGACTGTAATAAAATACTGAGGTAACAGCTTATGAAAAGGTTTGTTTTGCCTCACAGGGCTGGAGGATTCATTGCATGACCGATTGGCCCTGTTGCATTAGCAACAGAACTTGGTGGTTGGCGTGTATGAGAGAGCAAAGAAGTTTATGTCATGACTGGGACATGAGAAAGATAAGCAAGTGGGATCTGATGCCCCATAGTTTCCTGTTCTCTAAAACCTAAAATCTCCTACTGGGCTTCACTTATGAAAATTTCCACCCCTTCCTGTTAGTGGTGCTCGACTCCTGGAATTAAGTCTTTATGGCTTTTCGGAGAACATTAGCAGTGCAATTAAGAACTCATCTTTGGTTAGAGAGATAGATGGTTCAGAGGTTACCAGAGAACTCCAGTTTTCAGTACCCATGCTGGATGGCTTACATCCTCCTGTAACTCCAGCTCCAGCTGACCTGATGCCCCCTTCTGGCATCTGCTTGCACCTGCACTCATGTGTGCATACCTCCCCCAGACAGATACACATACACATAAAGTACAAACAAACAAACAAATAAACAAAGCACTTCATCTCATTGAAGAAGTTCATGAGATCTGCTGCTGCTGTTGGCCAATCTCAACACCAGAGCAAGCAACAATGCTGAACAGAAATAAACTGAGCATATAGGCATAGTCCTTGGAGGACAATAGTGGGGTGTTGCATGGTACATCTGAGAGCTGCTTTGCTTGCTCCAAGGCCAGAAGAATGTTCTGGATTATTGGGCATTTCTTCAGATCAATTATATCTTTACCTCTGATCTGAAGATATGCTGATACTCTTGTTAGCAAAGAGGTCAATCAACTCTGCAGGTATCTACAGAGGCCAGAATATGGTGTCAGATCACCTAGACCTGGAGTGTACAAGTGTTTCTGGGTGGCACTACTAGATTGCTGGGAACCAAACCCAGGTCTTCTCTGTGTGCAGCCTCACCAGTCCTTACTTCAGACTTTCAAATCTGTAAAATGAGGCTATAAATTCCCTTCCAAAGGACATCTCTGTGACTGAAGTGAGATATTAGCTTGACTTAATGTGGTACCTTTATACAAATAGTGCTTAACTTAGACCACAGGGGTTCATTCAGATTTGGGTCCAAACTTCTGTATTTTTAAAAGAATTCATAAAAGAGCTGGAGGTTCCGTTTAGTACACTGGGTAGTACACTTACCCAGCATGCCTGAGACCTGGGTCCCATGTCCAGCATGGGGGCAGGGGAGGTGTGGTTTAAGTGTTTCTGAACCAATCTTTTTGGGAATCAAGCAGCTTATTCAAACAAGTCACTCTTTTAAAAATGACTTTTCTTAATTTTTTTTTTAATTTTATGTGCACTGGTGTTTTAACTGCATGTATGTCTCTGTGAGAGTATCAGATCCCTGCAACTAGAGTTACAGACAGGTGTGAGCTGACATGTGGGTGCTGGGAATTGAATCTGTGTCCTCTGGAAGAGCAACCAGTACCCCTAACTGCTGAGGCTCCTCTCCAGCCCCAAGTCACTTAGAGATTGATAAAGCTTTCTTAGAGTCAAAGAATAGTACAGACCACTGTTCCAAAGACCATTTGTATCTTAACTGGGAAGAAGTCCAGGACCCCTTGTGAGAGTAACCCAGCCTCCCAGCACTTTAGAGCTCAATGGTATGAGAAATCTCTGCAGAGAGGTCTGATGTGGGTGTCAAGACAGCTTTCAACCTATACAGGCAGACCAGCTGCTCTCCGGGGACCTGTGCACACACACCAAAGCTGATTACTCTGGGCTGCAGCTGCTAATATGAGTTTTGCAAATTCCCAGGCTTCAGAGGACTGATCATTCCCCCCTCTCCCCACTCCAAAGAATGGGCTTGAACTTACTGCAATTGTGCAGGGCAGACAGACCTACCTGAGTTATTCCTGCCACCTGCCTCTTTGAGGGCTTTTGTAATGCGCATTCCTCAGAGAAATGGAATTTAAGTTCCTAAGGCAAATCTCATCCTGATGGACCACTAAACTGACACGCGTGCCGTGATGTCATGCCTCAGGATTTCTGGTTTATAAGCCCTCCTGTGTGCTTCTACAGGCCAGCCAGATAAACTGTTGGTACGCAATGCTGTTCCAGTCTTATATGACTAGCCCTTGGTTTTGAAAGTACCTGTACAGCAATCTCCCCAACAGCACATGTTGCTTTCACAATGGTAAGGGCATAATAGGGTATTACAGTAAGGATAAGATAAACAAATAAAAATGGAACTGTGATTCTTGGCTACAGGTTAAGAAAATAGATGTTCCCTTATACCATCAAACGATGTAACTGCTTAGTTACAATAGGAAAATGTTTGTGTGCAAACTGGAAGTCATGCCCTTCTATGCTACTCAAGGAGGGTAAGTAGAATCTTAGTACGTTTGAAACCATTTATTTGGTTTGCTGTGATAGTTATTTCACCAGCCATCAAAATAAACGTTGCCTTCTATCTCTTCTGACTTATTTACTCCCTTTGATCCTTTTGAGGTAGACTGACAGGAGAGCAGTTTCCTCAGGATGCTAACAGCTGTTTCACTTACAGTTTTATTTATCTTGGTTCATTCTGTTTCCAGTGAAAAAAACAACAGTAGATTGGCTCTGAGAGTTAAAGAAAGACCAGCCAACATCAGGTATTTTGAGATATGGGGCCTGAGCTTCGATCAAACACTTTTTGGCCACCCAGATCTGGGGATTTTATCACTAATCCTCTTAGCCACATACAACCTGATCAAATGTCTATGCCTCATAAGATACATGTGAGGTTTAGGTGAGTGCTGGAAATATGGACAAAGGCAGTGCAAGCACTCATGCATGTAGCTGTAAAAGCATACACACCTTGTTAGAGCCATCAATTTCTCAATTTTTCTGATATGTATATATGTAAATGAAAAGTTTCAGTTATCTCCACCACCCTGAACAAATGTCAAAAGGCGGCTGTAGAATTAGCTCAGAAGTGAAGAGTATTTGTTGCTCTTACAGGGGACCCAGGTTTAGTTCCCAGCACTCACGCTGGGCAGCTGAGAACTGCCTGGAACTCCAGTTCTAAGGGTTCTAATGCTCTCTTCTGATCTCCATTAGTATCTGTATGTATGAGGTTCACACAGAACACAATAAATAAATACTTTAAAATATAGTAAAGAGCATTAAAAGTGTCATTCATTTTTAAAGAGGGTATTTCCATCATTCTCATCTAAAATTGGTAGGGAGGGAGTTATAGAGATGTCTCAGCAGTTAGGAGCATCTGTTGCTCTTGCAGAGCAGGGTTCCATTCCCAGCCCCCACATGTTGACCCACAACCATCCCTAATTCCAGTTTCAAGGAATCTGATGTCTCTCTTCTGAACTCCATGGGTATCAGGAACACATATAGTACATACACATACATGCAGGCAAAATATTCACATATGTAAAATAAATCTAATAATAATAATAATAATAATAATAATAATAATAATAATAATAATACTCCACCAAACTGGTAGGTAGCAAGCCTGGGGCTTAAGAACTCCTTTGAGTGTTTCTGGTGACCACCTCAACTACTCCTGAGTGAAGACAGAACTCTCAATACTCATTAATGGTATTGTTTCTACTTTAAATATTTGAGGAAATAAGTCAGTTAGTAGAGTGCTTACCTAGAATGCATAGTGCTCTGAGTTCACATTGGGCATGTTGCTGTATGCTTGTGACCCTTTTGTGTTTGGAGGGTGGAGGCAGGAGGAATGGAAATTCAAGGTCATTCTAAACTAAACAATTCTGAGGTCAGCTGGGATGGGTGGTTTTATCTTAAAAAGAAAGATAAGATGTAAAGACAGTTTTAAGAGCATGGGGCAGGGTGAGCTAGCTTTGCTTAAAGCTGTCTTCAATCTGAATAGTGTGAGAATCACATTTCATTTTTTGCTACAGAAGCATGATGTAACAAATGTTACATGAGGCATGTGAACTAATGTTGGTGGCATTGTGTATAGAACGTGCTGGTATTGTAGGGATTCTGGATTCTTCAGACAATATGTATTCAGAGATTCTGGTTCAAGACACTTATTTTTTATAGCTGTCTGGAGATAGACAAATAATTTGGCCTTTTAGAAAATTTAAAGATTTCTTGCTCTCTATGGCTTAAGTAAACACTGACAAAAATCAAACCTCTTGTATATGGACTTCCTGGTGCTTGTAAGAGAAGAAACTGGTAAAGTCCACCAGAGGGGTGGCAGATGTGGTTTAGTGGTAGAGCATGCCTATTCTTTATGTGTAAGGCCCTGACTTCAGTGCTCAGAACAAAGAAACTTGTGTGTGTGTGAGACAGTGTCTATTATTTAGCTTTAGTTGCCCTATAAGTCACTACATAGACCAGTCAGGCATCAAATTCAGAGATCTGCCTGCCTCTACCTCCCTAGTGCCAGGATTAAAGACTTGTGCTGTCATACCAGGCTTGACAAAGAACTCTTAGACTCAACATGCAGAGAATTTACCATCTTTTCTAATCACTTCCCAATTTCCAAGTGGGCAGCATCTGCGCACGGTTGCACAGGCTTGTAATTTTAGGGATCAAGAGACTGAGGCGGGCAGGCTGTGAGTTCAAGGTCAGTCTAGGCTATATATTGAGTTTGAGGCTAGCCTGGGCTTTGTAGAAAGACACTGTGTCAACCAAAATATTGAAAATATAACAAAAACCAATAAGAATGAGGAAAAGAAGTAAGAGTTTAAGGCTGACATTAAGTTAGATTTCTTTTCTTAAAAACAAGAGAAGCAAATCCTATCAGTGTTCTTTAGCAAATGATAAATTTATTAGGTGTCTACAAGTACAAAACACTGAAAGCTGCTGTAGAGGGTTACAAAGGTGTGCAGGAGATGTGTCTGCCCTTGAAGAACTCGCAATCTATACAATGACTCACACGGACAAGTTGTGGGATGTTACACAATGTAAGCCTAGTTCTTAAAAAGTCCCAAGGCACTCTGACTTCTTCTCCGGCCAGACCTAAGGAATCCCTTCAACAGGAAAGTTCAATATGGGAAAGAGACCTTTTGTGGATTAATCAGTGACCTTGACTTTGCTTTTAACAATTGTTCCGTTGCTGTTGCTCCATTCTAGTAACTTCTCAGCATCGTGTCTGACCTTGGTGTGGAGAGAATCTTCAGGCTTCCTGAACCTTCACCAGGGTTTCCTGTTTGTGGGTGAGTGGCTCAGTTGCAGCTTGGCCTTGGAATGATTCGTCGTCCGAGTTTTCTTTGGACTTTGGTTGGCATTGGGCCGCTCTGCTTTGCAATCCCTACTTCTAAGGGCAGAAGGAGAAGATGCAATGCAGAAAGCAGGCCAGACTCTTCCCCTTACTTTAAACATTTAATAGTGCATTTACTGAATATACTCTGTACAGATATAGGGTACATTATAAACTTCCTTTATTTACTCATTTTTTTTTTCACTAAAACTGTATTCATGTGTATTTACAATGGGGAGAGGGGAACCTTGAGGTACAAAACCCAAAAGAATATCTGAGGTATAAATACAAGTATATTTTAAATAATAATCTTTATCATGCTTTATCTATGTCTGAAAGAACAGTGGACAGACATGTGTACATGTTTCTCAATAGAATGGTATATACAGCATATAATCTTACAGATCCAGAAGCCAACAAAGTTGAATATACACGCACATCTTCACAAGCAACACTGGTAATTCAAATACTCAAATTTTAAAACTCTACTCTGACCCCCTCCCCCATTCTTCAAAGAACCTCTGAAATAATACTGACAAGGTAACTAAGTTATAACAAAATAAAAATCCTTCTTCAACTCTCATTCATACGTTATTTACTTTTTGATCCATACAAAATAAATTTACTAATACTGTCTTGAGTCAATCTTTATCATTACAGTAAAACCTGTATAAAGACCACCCTTCCAAATGCCTGCACTATCTTTTTTCACTGAGATTATTATTATCCCCCATTTTTATGAAAATACAGTTCAAGGGCATTATGAGAGAAAACAGAAATGGAGGAAAAATAACAAACAGTCAAGAAACCTATTTGTGCACGAGGACAAACCCAATGAAAATACACACACGTAGTTGTCAGGAACACTGATAACACCAATAATCAAAAGCCTCTTGTGCTTGGGTTTACTCTACTGGGGACATACTTCCCTGTGTTCCCTTGTTTATCTTAGGGCTTATGTCACAAGCATGAAAATACTATGAATTATAACACGTAACAAGTGTTGATAAACACCTCTTATCCCAGCTATTCAACAGACTGAGATAGGAGCTTCAGCTATACAGTGAGTTAGTTGTTCAAGACCAGCCTGGGCAACATGGTGAGACCCTGTCTCAAAATAAAAGGTCAAAACAGAGCTTGGGATAAAGTCCTCTGTAGAGTGCTTGCCTGGCATATAAAAGGCCCTGGGTTCAACTCCTAGTCCTGGAAATAAAAAAGTACTTTGCTTGTGGGTGTTAGTGTTAGGCCTTTACATCTCTTGTAAATAAAAGCCTTCCTTTGGAGCCAGTCAAGGGAGTGGAGAGGATGCTTTTTAGTCTTAATGGCTACATTACTACAGTCATGGGAAACTATAGTTTATGGGAAAGCAAAGGTTTGAAGAAAAGAAAAAACAAAAGACAAAGCAAAGGTTTGAAGAAAAGAAAAAACAAAAGACAAAAAAAAAAAAAAAAAACTCAAAAAACACCCCCCCTCCCAACAACAACACAACAGCCTTGGGGGAGCTGGATTCCCCTTCTGGGTAGATCCCTGGGTAGTCGGCTATTCCAGGTGGAGCAAAACCTGGTGTATGAATCAGCATCCTATGTGGAGCATCTCAGTGTGCCAGACACTGCATCTCATCTCTCTATCCCTGCCACTCAGCCAGCATCACACACATTCACACTTCTCTGTGCAAACCATCCTCTGCTCATCTCAGGGAGAAAACCTGTCAATGAGTACCAACTATTCCAGTGGACACGTCAGTCTCTCAACACACTGCAAACAACATAGGTACACATGCGCTGACGTCATGAGAGAATGACGTCCTCTCTACCATCTTCCGTTATGAGCTGAAAGAGTCCTTGCTTCTCAGAAGCAATCTCAATAATACCAGTACACCCCTTTCCCATGCCCCAAGTCTTATATAATCCAGTCAAGGTCTATAACATAGACCTAAGACAAACAGGAAGCAGCTTCAAAAAAAAAAAAAAAAAAATCCCGTCAAATTGCTATAGTCAATGAGACCCAGATGGACTCCTCTGAGGACTGGCAAGGCTCTGGAAACAACCACCTAGGCAGCAGACACGGGTGTTTCACCTAGGCAGCAGACACGGGTGTTTCACCATGGCAATCACCTGGATTTGCTATCTTTGGTTGTTTCAGTGTTCTGATTACTGAAGGAGTCCCGGATCTTTACCACTTCAGCCGCGCACAAATGTCCAAAAGATTTTGTGTACCACTCTGGCATGTGGCCCCTGTCACACAAAAGAAAAGCTGGTGAGTTATGTAAATTAGAAAGGATGAGATGTGATGAAGGCTGTCTTGAATACACACACTCTTTCTCTTTTAAAATCGGAACTATGAGGACTGTGCTGAAGACTCAAGAGTGAGAGGAAAATGCTTCACTACTGAGCTCCAGAGGCTCCAACTTCCATTTCTTTCTTCTTAAACACAGTGATCGGCCTGCCTCAGCCTCGCAAGGGCTGCCATGCCTACTCCTTGTTCTACTCCTTGGTGAACAACATGAGAAAGTAAAGATGACCTTTGGTCTACAGACAACCCCCAGGTATCTGTTACACATCTAGGACCAGAAAATTTCTAAGGGACAACATTGAAAGCATGGCCTTGCATACAGGAAGCCTTGGCATGTATCACAGAAATGCCTAACATGGGTAACTGATGCCTACAAAGGGGAATTATTTAAGAAAAGAGCATTGGTTAGTTGACTTTGGGTGTCCTTGTAGTTGATGAATCCCATTTGTGCAATAAATGCACAGAGAGAGGCATAATCAATTACAAAACATGCACCATAAAACACCTTCCAACATGAAACAGGAAATATCTACTTGTTGACTCAATATAAAATATACTACTTCCTGTGGTTTTAAACTTGTAATAAAACCACCAAATTCACACTGCTTAAGGAATATGGATTGGAAGCAACATCCAAAAGGACAGCAATCTTCATCACAGTATTGCTTTACAAGCACCACTCTTCATTAAGTCTCCAAGACCCAGTGATAGATTCATTTCACCACACTGAGCATCATACAGAAAAGTCTGCATTTTCTGCATCCCCATCCCCCACATCAGAAGGTCAGAGTCAGGGCGTACCTTAAATCAGCTCGGCACATGTAGGTGAGTTTGGATTTTCCTGACCCGCAGGGTTCCATCAAATATCTGGACAGGAGCACATTAACCCTCACCCCTACCACAGGTGCCCGGTCGTGATCCACAGAGGTCAGTAAGAGGGCACAGGCTCCCCTGGGTAAGTTAGTCCTCCAGGTCCTGTGGAGGCAAAACCAGAGAGGGCATGGAATGAAATTTCTCAGAAGCCAGGTTGAAAATGGCACCTCCCTCCCGGCCAGTGCCATCCTCCCAGTCACTGTTCATGGTCTCAACTGGTACTGCACAACTTCTACTTAGGTTGGAAATGCTCAGTCACCCAGTCCCTTTTTGGAAAAGAGCCAGTTTTAAGTGTTTTTTTTTTTTTTTTTACCCCTTTTACATTTCATGGATGTCTCAGGATGTGAATATCAAACAGGCGGTGAACAGTTCTGGAAGGATAACGTGATCGTTCCTCAACGCTTTTTGAAACTGTTCTCTCATTGGCCTTGGAGGATTTGGGATTTACATATAAGTCAGCCTAAATACTCTCACTTCATACTAAATGCTACTTCCTGGCCCATCCACTTGTTCTAACCAGAGTATCAGGCAAAGGGTCAGAAATGGAGGACCATGGTGTACATTCATTTGAAAAGCTCTTCCCCCTTTAGAGCTCAGTTCTAAGAGGTAAAGCCCGACTCAGTGAAACTGCCTGTTGACATGAACATAAATGTGCTTTGAAATCGCTCAGCACTTTCCCTGACATCTACACTACTTTTAAATAACAACCATATTGTGAGTTTCAGTGACACGCTGGCTCAGTCCTGTTGTGTAATTGCCTATGCCGTGGTCAGGTCAATTTGGAAGCTCTCACCTCAACACAACGTAGTCCCGAGCAGGGTGGGGTGCCATGCTGTTTTGGACGTACTGGTAGATTTCGGTCTGGCTGTCCAGGGTTTCTATCACCTTGGAGTCCAGCAGGTCCACATCCCAGAGGTGCTGTTCTTTCAGAAGACGTTTTAAGATCTCCTCGGGTGCCGCAGGAACTTCAATGGTTGACCTCCACAGCCTTAGTGGGGGTCCTTCACTGACCTGCAAAGGAGACGCATGGTTTTCAGTGCACATACACATTGCTTCTGAAAGCCAATTTTGAGTGGGTACACGGCCCCTGTTCCGAGGCTGATTAATGAATAAATCTGTGAAGTTAATAGGCTACTAGCCCTGAATACACTCAAGAACAAGCTAGGAGTGCAAACAAAATAGTGTCAACTGTGGTCAGAACCATGACTTCTGTCTCCTGGGGCTTGTATCAGAATGGCTGGGATAAATTAATTTATCTCACCCCGAAGTCTATATGGCCATTTGACCACTCAGTTTATTTTCATGGTGTTAGAAGACACAGTGTTGACAAACACCTTGATGGACATTATGAGGAGATACAAAAGATGCCACAGACAGTGGCTTGGAATACATGGAAGTGTAAAACTATTTTCTTTACGGTACAGAAAAAAAAATATGTAAGCATGTCCTGAGATGCCCCTTGAAAGCCCAGTAACACTAGTGAATCGGGTAAGTCCAGGATGATTCTATGGCAGGAAGGGGCGCGCATCACAGGCAGATTGCTCATATTCATCTCCCTGGATAAAAGTCTGTTCTTAACCAGGGAATCTCAATCACCTGGCTGCCCAACACGGGGCCAGTTCTCAATGTCAGGGATAGGGTTCCCCATAGAGAATACAACTGGGCAGAGTCTCAAGTCATGACCATGGGAATGGACAGGGAGAAGAGAAGACAGACCTTCTTATAGGACAGCTCAGCCTGTTCAGAAGTAGGATAGCTGACCCAGCCTTTGAACTTCTCTTTGACCTCCTTAAACAGGCCATCCACACAGTCCTGGAGAAAATGTCTGTAGTCGGCAGGCTGATCACTGCTCAGGTGTCCCAAGGCCTCCAGTGTGAGGGGCTTTAGCTCTTGTTCAGTGTAAGAGTTGCGGCATCGGCTCATTTCCTCGGGAATCTGGGAGGAACACACAAGACCAGGAGGTAATGGGTCTGCCAGTGCCTCAGTAAACGGTGAAGGGCAGAAGCAATGGCCTGACCCAAGCTGGCAGCCCACCCCTGCTCCTGTGAGCTAATGAATGGAGGATAATTACAACAGGGCTTACACGGGTCAACGCACGTCTCTCAGACAGATTTTTAATTCCAGATAATTTATTGCTTTTCCCCCCTCTCCCAAGACAGGGTTTCTCTTGTGTGTCTCTGGCTGTCCCAGAGCTAGCTCTGTAGACCAGGCTGGCCTTGAACTCTGCTTTTATGTTTTAGGTCCAAGGTCAACCATTTCACAAAACATTAACTGCAGTGAATGTATACACGCATGTATATCTAAACACGTAAATAGCTCATGTGTGAGTGAGAGAGGGTGCACATGAGTGAGTGGCTGAGTGGCCTACGTGTGTGTGTGTGTGTGTGTGTGTGTGTGTGTGTGAGAGAGAGAGACATTCTTAGCCATGTACATAATCTCCTATTATGGGAAAGACCTTTTGCCCAGATGAGAACAAGCACCAATGACTTTGTGCCCCACCCCCTTAGTATAACAGCCAAGCTTTGGGACAGGGTACCTGGAAGAGCCTCTTGCACTCAGCTATCATGTGGGCCAGCCCTTGCGTGGCAGCTAGGTTTTCATTCAGATCTTTCTGGTCTGGTTTCCCCAAACTCTGTTTTCTTTGCATGACCCTAAGGGGGAAAAAAAAGGAAAGAAAGGGTTCGGATAAGCAGGCAAAGTGGTTCAGAACAGCTTCTGTTTGTTTAGCAGTCTCTCATTATTTTATGAAAAAAAATGTACCACAAAATACAAAGACATGTTTTGCTTAAATATCCAGGCTATTTAAGGAAGTTTTTACTAAGCAGCTCAAAAGAATACGTATTTGCTGTCGACAGCAAAGAGGCAGATTCTACAGGAACTGAGGTGGGAGCTGCTTGCAGTAGAGGTAGATGGTATTGCTATCCCTACAGGCTAAGGAAATAGGATCCCCTACCTTAGGTGAAGGATAACTATTGTTTTCTAGGTGGCTTGTCTTAATCTTATCTGGCCCTTCTTCTGCTCATCTCCTGTAGTTTTCTAACCCATTAAAGTTGGAATGTCCCAACAATTTAATTTAACACCAGGTAAAAGGCTACTTAAGTATTGCATGGCTTTTAGGTACAAGGACTTCAATGCACCAAGCTGAGAAACACTTTTCAGGTTCCTAGGGCTGGACAGAAGCAGGATGTGCTGAGTTCATCCAGCTAGTCACCCTATCTTCCTATGCTGGAAGGGTGATCTTACCATGAAGTATTCATGTAAGAAGTGCAAACCAGATCTCTTCTTATTTCCTTCCAGAACTTACCTTTCCCTAAACTTCACTTTATTTTTGGGAAAAAAGATCGTTGGCAGTTTGCCTATCTCCTGTGATTGTTATGATATGAGAAGATCAATTCAAAGAAAAGATTTTGTGCCTGGTATGGAGTAAGTTCCAGATAAGTATCAACCTTGTCTGGAGCACTGAGGGTCTCCCAATTTCTCCACAGCTATATCCACCTTGTGTACTTGTATTCTAGGCAGAAATGTTTGTCAATAATCGGCTTAGGTCATATGCTAAGTAGGAACAACTCTGAGGTTCAATAGTAACCTTTGTCCTTTGTAGCCTTGCTTCCAAATCCACGCACAGGTCAGAAATGTGTATTTCCTGGTCCCACAGGAGCTAAGGTACTGGGGATACCATCTGTCCCTACTGCAAGCAGCTCCCACTCAGGGCCATTTAGGCCAGTAGGTCTGCAAGGCTGTTGTCTGGGAGAATGGAAACAACACTGTTTGATTTGCCTTAAACACTGGATATGCCAAAGCACACACCCATGGGGCCCTGTCTCAGGGCCCCTCCTGTTAAAGGACTGCTTTTAGCAAAGGAGACAGAGAGGCACAGGGCTACTTTGAGAGCTGAGAACGAAAGGAGCTTGAACAGGAAATGCTCCCAAGCAGTTCACATTCTGGACAACTAATGCCCCAGCTAGGATGCAGCTGGAGAATAGGTCACTGTGGGCAGGTCCTTGGTTATCTTGTCTCTGTTGCCCTCTTTCTCTCTGCAATCAGGCTGCCATGAAACAAAGGTCCTGCTGCTCTGTGATGTCCCACCTAAGACACCAGGCCAACCAACCACAGGCTGAACCCTCTGAAACCATGAGCAAAATCAACCTTTACTCCCTTAAGTTGTGTCAGGCAATCTGTCACAGTGTCATACGAGGGCCTAATTCCAGGACTAAGCACCTTTGCTTGGTTCAGGTAAGAATCCAACAAGAATACAGGGACACAGCCCTAGGAGGAAGTGAGAGATGCTTCTCAAGAGCAGGGCCTGGCCATGCTCCTTGTGTCTGATCTGTACCTTGGGGAAGAATTCTCTCTTTTCAGGGTGTTGAGGTGGAAGAGAGAAGGGGCTAAGCACACAGCCAGGTTGGTGGGAGTCATCTGGTTTTCCTTCACGGCTGCCGTGACATCACTCAGGAAGTAGAGAAGCGTCTGGAGAACTTCCCGGTTCTCGTCAGGCAGCAGCATAATGGCTGCCTTGATAGCTTGGAGACGGTGGTCCTTGGGCACATCTGCAGGGCACAAGCATTCCTGCCATCAGCTCTGATTTTCCACATACATGGCAAGTCCCCAGCCCAAAGCAAACATCGGCATCAAACACCGAAGGAGTACTTGCAGAAAGCATACTAAAGATTAATAAGGATGAAATTATGGGCTGCCACAGGCGTCACTACCCTCAAGTATTTCCTGCCTCATAGGGGGAGTTGAAACATTTTAAACACCCACAGTGCTAACATACTCTAAAAATCGACCTCAGAGTTTGGCCCCAGATGGTATGCTCTTGTAGTGTACAGAACTGTTTCTTCTAAGCACTCAAAAAAAAAAAAAAAAAAAAAAAAAAAATTCAAATTTAATTAAAACTTGCCATCTTAATTATTGAAATCACTCTATATTTAAGATTTTGTGTAGTCTCAATAAAAAGTTTATGTGAGACACGTGCAAGAAGTTAAGAGTGGAGATTGCTCAGCTGGCAATAAAAGGTCCAAAATCTTTGGAGGCCAGTTTTGATCCATTTGCTCATCTCTAAAATGGGAAAGACTGTGAAAATATGATGTTGATTTAAATAGACAGATTTCAAATAATAACTTAAGGTTGAGAAAGAACACCAAGAGGCAAATGTATAAAAATGCACGTAGGGCTAAGAACAGTTGACACTGCAGTGAGTCTACACCCAGCCTTCCAGTCTTACTCGCCAGGCAAACTTCAATTTTTTAAAAGCATGTGGTGGAAAAATCAAGTCACTTAAATGTAGGGCCATAAGACAAACTGATTAAACAGCTCCATGGTTACGATGCATAACAAATACCCTGGAGGGGGAAAATGTGACCTGTGTTTTCATAAAATATGAAAGGACGAAACAAATAATGAAACAGTCCAGACCAGACCCGCTCCGTTTCTCATAAAATGAAGCTCAATACGTCAGTGCTAAAGACCATTTCAGCTGCGAGGAGCTGCTTTTAAATCACGCTGCACTAATGCCACCTGAGCCAAGAAAAATACAAGACTGTGAAAGCCACGATCCTCATCTTGATCATTTATTTCTACAACTGTTTGCTTTAAGCTGCGCTTGAAAGTGAGGAGGCCATGCGTACTGTTTCCCCACGTATGTCTGGAAGGGGCCGTGATGAATAACAGAGAAAAAAAAAAAACTATTCATTTTCTAGTGAGATAAAACACACAGACACTAGAGAAATTTAAAACTCAACAGCCCTGTGAGAGAGGTGTAAATGGTAAGTCTATAGACAAGGGAGGAGGAAAGGGAATGAGGAGAGGGTGGATGGGAGGAAAGGAGAGAGGGAGAGAGAGTGGAGAAGTGGCGGGGGAGAGGAGGGAGAAAGAGAAGGGAAAAGGGGCAGCAGAGGGCAGGTTTTGGTACCCAACTTTTCAGCATCTGTGTCACACTGCTCTAGACAAATGAGAGATGATACAGGACTTGACTGTGAAGATGTACAACTGCTTTAGCACTTACAGACTAATCAGCAACATTTATTCCCTCTTTCTTTATAAGACAAGGTCTCATGGAAGCCAGGTAGCCTGCAGCCAAGGACAGCCTTGAACTTCTCACCTCTCCACCTCCACTTCCACCTCCCAAGTACTAGGATTACAGGTGTGCACCACCACTCCTGGCTTATGTGGTGGCGGGGAGCAAATCCAGTGTCCCATGCCTGCTACATAATCACTCTGCCAACACACTCCCAGGCCACAAAAGTTACTTTTCAAATTATTCTGTAAGTATACACAAACCTATTCCACAGGCAAGGCAAGAAACTGGTAACTTGTGATTTGGAGGGTCCCTATGCATGTTTTCTTGGTGAAAGAATGACATGAACAGAGGCTGCATGTTTCATTTGGTCCCACTATATCCAGCATCATCAACAGTCTTAAGGAGATCCAAGAATGCTTACACTGGTAGATCTGTAGGAAGGTTTCCGAGAGTTTGTTTGTCATGAGGGGCTCAGGAAGATCTCGAAAATATTGCTTTAACATGTCTGCCACATCGTAAGCGGACTGGCCTTCATAGTTGACATAATCTTCAGCGCTTTCATTCATCTGCCGTAGTGCCTGAATCCTGGATTTGACACCTGATTTTCTGAAGAGCCCAACCTTTTAAAATAAAAACATTAGGGATGAAGGGGGAAGCAACCAACACCTTCCCTTCAAAACTAAAAGGAAAGCAGCATGAAGCTCAGTTCCCATGAGCAGGATTTGCCTGCAGCTACACCCACCTGGTCCAGACAATGGTTACGGAGGTAGCGCATGGCCTGCTGGATGCTCTGAGGCAGGGGTTGCCCTGAGCGCTGCACATTCACAGTCAGTGGGACCCCAAACACGCTCCGGTCCTTGTAGTCTGGAACCTTAATCCTTTTCATGAACTTGGGCACAGCCCTGTTGAAAGAACATGGTGCTGGTAGTGAGGGATGGATGCATTTATTTGCTTGATTTCATGTAACCTGTTTTGCAAACAATGTCTCAGCTGTATTAGCCACACTAAAGGCCATACTGGTCTTTTTGGTGTGTGTGTGTGTGTGTGTGTGTGTGTGTGTCTGTCTGTCTGTCTGTATGTATGTATGTATGCAGGTATTGTGCTTTTGGTGCCGGGATCCAGAGCACTGTTGGGCAAGTGCTCTACTATTGAGCTACACACACCCAATAACATCTCTATGATTCCTTTATAAGACATTTTCTCACTATGTAGTTCAGTCTGGTCTTGAAATTACAATCCGCCTGTCTCAGATTCTTTAGGCATACACCACCATGCCTGGCTATGTTCTAGATACTTGAAGAGTTGGGAGTTCTAAGACCTGGTAAAATCTTCCTCATCTGGGGGAATCTGTTAATTCCTGTTAATCTTGAGAACAGGAGTCTGTGGTCCTTGGGGAGGCTGATGACCTTTCCCAGCCTGCTCCTGAATGTATTCAGGGCTAGTAGTCTATTACATGGTGCAGGAAGGAAGAGGCAAATATATGTAATACCTTAGTAGATAATTCTGATGAAAACTTGAGAAACAAGTTCCCATTTTTCCTACATGGGTACGAATCCCTTCTGGGTCCTTCAAGAGGTCTGGGTAACACGGTATAAAAATCAGCAAACACACAATGCTGACTGGCTTGTCACACTGAGAACCAAGACCAGAGCCCAAAAGGAGCATGACCAGAAGTCAAAATAAATTCCCTGCTGATGACCCCAGAGAATGCAGCCATCTTCGGGCTTCTATGGGAATGCGGAAAGGAACAATGGGAGTTTTGTGAGGCTTCCCAAGGCTGCCAGGCATCCTGAAAGCAGGTCAGCCCCCAGCCATATATGCAACAGCAGGAAATCCATGTCAGGCATTTAAGGCCATCAGGCGGACAACTGAGCTCACAAATGACTCCTCTGAGTGAGGCCAGAAAGGGCAAAGCCGAACAGGAAAAGACCTTTGGGCAGAAGGGCTCCATGCCGTCCCAATTCCACAATTGCCAGGCTTTTATATTTGGTTTTGACTGACTGGAAACACTGACCAGAATTAAAGTAGTAGGGTGGACACCTGAATGGAGAATCTGAAATATGCAGTTTTAAATAGTAGTGAGGAAAATATTACTCTAAGCACAGGGGGATACCACAGAAAGCCAACTGCCTTGGCTTCTGGGTGCTTGCCCACAGCCATGACATGCTACTCTTGATGGCTCTAGGAAAGGAAAAGCCAGAGCAGAGAGTAGAGCCAAATTTGTATTTCCATACAGTTAAGCATGCGGTACTGTGGTAGAAGCGTGCATAATACTTGCTTTGTTAGGGGTGAAGAGCCCGGCTGCGGTATGTGGGAAGAACACATTACACTCCCCACCGAAATCTGAAGCATTCTGGGATGAAGTGGTCAATATGTATTTCTGTCATTCAGAACAAACAAGTTCGGAATTTAGCTAGGCTTATATAATTGCTCTGGTGGTGGTGGGGGGGGGTAGGATGGGGGAGAGGTAGTGGTGTTGTTGATGCTATAGCTACATCCCCAGTGCAACCCTGGGAGGGAGGAGCCAGAGGACAGTGGACTTTGCCTCAGGCTATCTCAACCCACATTGGGTGACCACAGAGTGGTCCAATGAAACAGACTGCATCTTCATCCCCATAACAATAGGACAATTAGTGAGGAGATTCCAAGGTACCTGTGATGCTGCAAAACTAAGAGACCTGAATCCAAACACAGTTGTCTTTGTGCAGGACTACAAAATCAGTATGTACACAGATCAGGCCACAACCCATCGCTGATTGTCTGATTTTCAAAATCATGAGGCCTTTGTCTAATAAATCAACCTTTAAAAGATATTTGTTTGTGCACGGGGTGCAGGGGGCATGGTGGCACATGGATTTAATCCTAGTAATTGGGAAGTAGAGGCAGATGAATCTCTATGAGTTTGAGGCCAGGCAGATCTACATAGTGAGTTCCAAGACAGTCAGAGTTACAAAATAAGACAGATTCTGTCTCAAAATATCAGAGATACCCAAACAAAAATAGTATATGTAAGATTTTTATAGTTAGCTATTTAAATTTATTACTCCCTGAACATGAACTTTTTTTTTTTTTTTTTTTTTTTTTTTTGCCAGGGAGCAGCTCTTCCCGACTCCAATAAACAACAAAACCAAATTCTTTAGCACGGGTACATCTTTTAACCACTGAGCCATCTCCCCAGCCCTGCACATGTTGATCTTTGAGCCATGCTCCAAACGTTCATTCAAACATGACCAGCAGAGTGTGCATTCAGCATGAATGAAAGCCCGAGTTCAATTCCCAAGACTGCCAAAAATAAAAAAAGCTTCTAAAAGCATACACAAGTGTCTTCTAACATCTTCTCATTTTTCCTTCCTTCCTCTCATGAACATGACCTGATAGTGTCTATGTATTTGCCTAGTGTGGGTTATTCCTATTCCTGGAAAGAAAATGCCTATGTTATATGATGTGAGAGGGACGAAATCTTTCATGTAAAGGGCTGAAAACCCAACCAACCAGTCTTGCTGTTAATTCCCGAAAACTTCACAAGCTTCATTAAGTATTGAAAATACAGCCTCAAGGATGTGGAAACAGATTGCCTAAGGAGGACTGATTGGAGATACTGATAAAGGAACAGAAGAGTGGTCATATGCTCAGTGTTGGGACAGCCTTGGGGACTGCATGGCATCACCTGCAGTTAGTTTATTGTATACTTGATTCTCTTACCAGCTAAAGCCATGCTTGTTGGAAGGCGTGTATTTTTCCAGCAGGGCTGTCAGTTTCAGGAGTGAGTATTTCTGCAGTAGGTTCATCTGGACCACAGACTGGCAGTTAATCTGCAGAGATACAGAATTTAGGCTCGGCCGGTGAGAGCTCTGGAAGCTATGCCATCTCAGTCTGTGCCTGCAAGAGAACAGGGTAGGAGTGAGACGGACACTTCTGGGTAGGGCACAAAACAGGCTGCTCGCTGGCATCTTCAAGAACCAAGAGGACTGATGCTATTTTCCAGTTTTTCCTCATAGGAAGAAAGACTGGTCCTTCCTACACAGCCACAGAAGGCTCCCTCCAGAGCATCCTCAGACTCTCAGGCTCAGGTCTCTTACAAAAGATGTGTAGCATCTATGCACATTGGGGGCACCCACCCATTTAGTGTAAATGATCTCTGGGTTACTTATAATGACCTGTGAGGAGTTCATTGTTATACTGTATTATTTAGGGAATAATGACAAGAAAGGTAGTTTCTCCCCCAAAGTATTTCTCATCTGTACCTGGCTAAGCCTGAAGATTTGGAACTGCGGGAGGGCTGACTTGATTGTACATGCCCTTTACCATTTTAACCATATCTATGGATACACCTTGGTGGCATAAAGTCTGATCACACTATGCAAACACTACTTCTCTCCAGGTTCCATTGTTTTCATCCTTCTTGACTGATCTAAACCTAGTACACAATATCCCCTATCTTTTGGAATGCTGGGGTCTCCTGGCTGGACATTACATGGCTGTGGCTTTATCCCACCATGCAGATGATGCTGGATCCCCACCTTGGTCTAGATAAGTAAGACCCTTACCTCTTGCACCTGGTCAGGGATGCCCCCACCCCAGAGTCCCTTCTTTCTGGGATGTCAGTGGGCTCTTCAGGCTCATTGAGGGAGTTGCCTGTGCTGTCCAGATCACTGGGTGTCCTTCGGTCATGGTCCACATCCAGGTGTATCTGTTTTGGAGATGATGGGCAAGGAGACACGGAGTCCAGGGCTGAGTCGGAGTCCCCCTCATCTGAAAACTTTTCAGACCACTGGTTGACTATCCGCTGCATCCCCTTCACATGGTAGAGAATGTCATCCAGCTCAGGGAAGATGTCCTCATTCTCTAGGTCAGCCAGGTCCCCTGAACTGGAATAGAGGATGGAGCCCGGCACATTATCATAGATACTTAGGCGGCTGCTCACAGAGCTGGAGGAATTGCGTCTCTTTAGTTCCTTAGGACTGTCGCTACTGTTTTCTCTCCGTAAGCTGAGGTGGCCAGGGCCATGGAAACTTCCGGTCCGCCAGTTCACAGAACTGTTTCCCGAGGAACAGAAACTGCCATTGGAGAGGGCCTTGGGGAAAGTGCCAGGCTTGTGATCTTCTGGAATGTAGAACACTGTGTCCTCTGGGTAGCTCTCACGGTTCTTATAGTTCTGCTCCGTCACATTATTCAGGGAGGACTGACTGAAAGGGTCAAAGCCCTCTAGATACATGCCCACCCGCTTGTTACAGGTGCTGAGGCTCCGTGTCCTGGTGATTGGGCTCGGTGTGCTGACAGCACTGCTGGTCTCTGACTGGCTGCTGCTACTACTGGTCTGGGTGGAGTTGGACACGCTCCTTTTTCGTACCATGGGCACGTTGATGTGGTTGCCATTGAGGGCTGAGATCTCCACGCAGTTCAGCGGCTTCAGCTTCTCCTCATCCATTCCCTCCTGCAGAATGGGAGCACTGATGATCAACCCCAGCTTCGGAGGTGCCTTGTGCTTGCTGTGGTGGGAGCCCTTGAGCTTCAGGCTCTCCATCCGTTTCAGCAGGCTCCTTGTCTTAGACTTGGTGTTTTTCTCATGGCCTTTCATGCTGAAGCTGAAGCTGGACAGTTCCTTGGGGGAAGGGAGGCTGGAGAAAGAGTCATCGTTGCCTACAAAGTGGCTGGAGGAGCAGACACTGATGACAGAATTCGTTCGGGGTGTCACAGCATCCCCGCTGTGGGGCATGTGGGTGTGGACACTGCTGGTGCTGCTGAGGCTTCGGACAGAGGAAACCTCCTGGCGCTCACTAAGGTCTGTCAGCATGCTCTCATGGCTTGTGGCGCTCTGCAAGTGAGGGTCATCTGGGGACCCAGGGATTGGGTCGTGCTTTGGAGAAAAGACATCAAACTCTTCAAGTCGGGACCACCTCTTGCTGTCCCTCTGGAACGTCCACTTGCCACTTATTGCACAAGGCTCATCTTCATCCGAATCCTCACTCTGCAAAGACAAAATGAAGCCATGTATGTGCTAGGCCAAGCAGATGGCAGGGGCCAGGACACAGGCTAAGGGCCAGGACACTAATCAAAGGATGCTCCCAGTGTCCATTACTCATTTCCTTCATTCTGTTTTTAAGTAACAAAGATGGACTTGAACAATTTATGAGTACTGTGTTTTATTTGGAGAATCTGTTTGCACATATGTGTAGGGATATGTATGGCTATATATGGATCTGTATAGGATGTCTATGGGTCAGAGTGAGTTTTCTCTTTCAAAAACCTTGGGTACAGAGCTCAGTTGTCATGCCTGGCAGCAGGCACCTATAGTCTATTGTCATTTCACTGGCCCAGGTATAAAGACTTTAACAGAAAGTCTCACCAAGTGTTGCCAGCTAAATGAGTTATTTTATTGAAAATCTGAGTCTTTAGGCTGTTCATTAATTGCTCACAAAGGGGACCTCTGAGATTGGAGAAAATTCCAAGCATGCAAAATATTCTGAACTGGAACTTGGATCAGCAGCGGTGGGGCTCTCTCTGGACTGTCTCCAGTGTAGCTGCCTGTTGACAGAGTGTGTTTATATTCTCTTGGGCAATTAAAAAAAAAAAAAAAAAGAAGCCACGTTCAAATAGCAGAATGGTGGCTGAAGGCTCTAGGTAGCCTAAAAAAAAAAAAAAAAAAAAAAAAAAAAAAAAGCCAGGCTAGGACATCCCCCACACTGTGAGCCATCATGTAGCGGCCCAACCCTGTGTCATCACTTACTGGTACTTTCCCCCACAGTTAATGTCACAAGGGTCCTGGGCAGTTTCAATGTCAGATATGCTCCAGACAATTTAACAGGGCTTTAAGAATGCCCTGTGAGTGCCACCAGCATGGGACATTTGTAGATACTAGGGAACGTGGCGGTTGATTATGCCTGGCTTATGTTCAAGAATCAGAATGTCCCACCAGAATACTGCCTTTCAGAAGGTAAATTAAAACTCTGAATGCTGGCTATCCTTGCCATTGTTGTGACAGAATCAAGACCCAGTTTGTACAACACTGAGTAGACAGCCTCCCACACCCACATGGAGAATCTCTGCCCAGCTCAGTGGGTGCTGAGGTTCCCATCACTTATTTATGAGGCTTAACTCCTGGAAGAAGGCAGCTTTCTGCAGGTCAGGGACGGTTGGAGAATTAAAATGTATACTCTCCATAGTCAGGACTATGTTCTGTGGGCAAATGGGTTCCTGTTTACCCGAGTCTGTGACACTAGCTCCTATCATTACCTCATCCTTTCCCAAGGTCCCACAGCTCTAATCCAAAAGAGAAAAAAACCAGTTCACATCACCACTGACAGAGTGTGTGCGTGCGACTTCCTGTCCCGGCCCCTTCCTCCCTGCCCCATACCAAATCTCCTCCTATTCCCCACAGTATCCCCCAAGCCAGCCTTTGCTTTCATCTTGACAGCTCTGAGATGGAGTTACTGTTCCATCCAGGAAGAGCTCCTAAAGAATGTTAGCTTTCTGGGGAGCAATGCGAAATTCCTCTGCAATTCAATGGGCTTCATGTCATATGGCACCCACTGAGTTCATCAGGAAAAATAACAGATGATTTCCTTCGGCTGACTGCAAATACTGGTTTTAACGTTTAGAATGGACAAGCAGAACCCTTTACTGCCCACCTAGTCATGTTTGGGTTTGCACGCTTGTTGCCCCCACCCTGTTGTGTAATTCGGGTACTCACTCGCTTCCGGTGAGGGCTGACCTCCAGCTTCATCACTGCACACTTGTTTAAAGTATTTAGTCGCCTACAGAGCAGAGAAAGGACATTAGCGAAGAAAGGAAACCACTAATGGGCAGGCAAGTATTTCTTCTAAACAACTGACACATAAGCAAGCTTCCCTGAACTCATTTCTCATTTAGCCAAGTATGGTAGGTAAACTTCCATTATAAAGTGAGTAATTTAGTCCTGGCACGGTAGTGCATGCCTTTAACCTCAGGACCTGGGAGGCAGAGACATGTGGATCTCTGAGTGTGAGGCCAGCCTAGTGTAGCTAGTGAGTTCTAGTCTCAAAAAATGTGAGTAACTTAAAAAAGGTGACTTTCTCTTTCATGTAATTTTTGTTTACATTTTACATATTCTTGAGTAGATAGCATACACACTGTAGTGTCAGTGTGATGTCTGCTTCAGGGGAGATACAGGCAATGGTAAGGAACCAAGGAAGACTTGGCAAAATGTTCTGTGTATCCCATCTCCCACCAAATAAGAGTTAAAAAGTCCAAAAGGCTTCAGAAATCTCCAACAAACGACCATCTCAAAGGTAATTTTACAGCTTTAGTTTATTCTACAGAGAGGAAGTTCCAGCCTTCTGTAAGGCTCAACACTTTACATGGTTTTCTATTGGCAGAGAAGTTGTGTCATACCAACAGCAACAGCACAAATGATTATTTTAAGATCTGTACACTGTAAACCCAGGTACCAAAATCTCACTGGGTTCCAGCAGGCACACAGATCAACTTCTTTGGAACAAGGGTCCAACTGCAGCTCTGAATAGTCTGTCCCATCACCCAACAGTAACATCCATTTAACAATAGAGAAACAATGATGGCAGTGTAGCTCCGTGATAGAGGACTTGCCTAGTGCATACACGGTTCCAAGTTCAATCCTTAGCACAGTGGAATTCAATCAATCAATCAGCCATTAATCAATCATTTTCATTAAAAAATAAAATACTTAAAAAATCACAGGAAATAACGGGGGAGGGCACACTCTATGTACTCCCTAACTAGTGGTCACAGTGTGTGTGAGTGGCAGCTCTCCGGGCCTTGGTTCTTCCTAATATCTTCCAGATGACCATCACCGGATCTTTCTTCAAATGATCCCTTTTAAACCTGTCTGCTTGCTACCTAATAAGCCTCATGAACACTGCCCTCCCCCCAAAACATCGGTCCTGTATTTCTTTCTCAAGATGCAACCTTCCATTTTCACGGAGTAAGAGCACTTAATTCCCTCCACTTCAAACTGATCCTGTGTGCTCCTCAGGCTTTATCTCCCCACCCTGCTCTGGTAACTCATCTGACAATCTGGATGCACTGGGACAGGCAGTATTTCTGCAGCCTGATAAGCCTGCCTTTGATTCCACAGATGATGTGGAAGCCTGTTTATAGAATAAACAGAGATAAAGCAGGGCACAAATGTTCAGAAAACTCTCCATGGATGAGGAGGGGGATGAAAACAGCTGAGAAGCACTGCAGGCTCATAGAGGGGGTGTAGGGTCCCTCTCTAAAGGACATTAGTTAAATGACACACCCACTATTTTCAGCCCCCCCCCCCATCTTGTCAAGGCTTTCAAGAATGAGGAATGGTTACTGTTAGTCTTAGGTCTGGGTTTCATTAATCAATCCTGTAATCAAATCTCCACTTGACTCCATTTGGACTTTAATGGTTGAATGATGTTTATAACCAAATTTACTAGGCATAGAGGCCTATGGGGGTGGGGGTGGGTGGAACAACTTCACAAACTCCAGATTTGAGCCAAACAAAAAAGACCCAGGAGGTTAGTTTTATATAGGTCAAGTTTATCTTTTTATGTTGGTAGCACCAAACTAATGGCATTGCATTCCCAAAGGCCAAAGTTACTTTTAGGGTTTCTGTGGTTTTCATTTATTTCCCCTCACCAGCCTGCATTCCCCAGGATTTCCAAAGGCTTACGAGGAGGGCTAGTATGCCTCTATGCAGAGGGGCAATAGGGACATAAGACAGTATTGCTAACCAGAGAAGAAACTCATCTCAAAGAAAGGAAAACAAGGGTGGTTGCTAGAAGCTGGCAAGGGACAGTGAGTTCCAAGTAGGCAGGTAGCTAATGCAGCACGAAGACAGAAAGACTCAACATAATGGGGTGACAATTAACATTACTTTATTTTAAAATGGCTAACCTGAATGTTCTCAAGACAAGAAATGATAAAAGTGAAAGGTGGTAGATATGTTAATCCCCATGATTTAGTCATACTTTACATACAAGCATTGAAACATCACATGCTACCACAAAGATAGCTATACACATGCTACCACATGGATAGTCATTCTGTGTTAATCAAGAATTAAAAAAAAAAATAAAACAGTTCCAGCTCAGTGAACTGCTACTCTCTCTCTCTGGGTGAGGGACTGTGCTGGGAACTTCTAATACATTGGCTCATACTTAGTTCTTTGACAATCTCCCTAGAAATGATACTGTGATTTATCTTTATAAGGGAAGAAAAGAAGCACAGAGAACTCAGGAATTTTGACCCAGGATTAAAACACAGTGGCTCTGGTGTCCAAACACAGCATCTTCTACACTTGGTTTTGGAACAAGTATTAATGATGGTAACAAAGGAAGCCAAGTAGAGTTGAAGTAGCATCCTTCAAGTGGCTGAAATACTGCTATCAATAACCATCTGTAGCCTCGGGCATTCTATCCCCGCCACCGCCCAGGGCCCAGCACCAAAGGAATGTATGGGTCTTATCTCCTGGGTAACTTGGGTCTGTTCTAAAGACAGAGGGAGCCAAGGGCGGACTATCAAAGGTTCAAGAGTTTGGCTGCACAGAGCTGTAGACATGTAGATAAAAGGATAGAGGTGGAGATATGGGACTTCTTGCATTTAAACAAAAAGCAGAAGGGGGGCTAAGGAAACAAAGGACCTGACAAAAATTCTAATTCTTATAGTTTTTCTTGGAGTTATACATAATATGTTTAAATTAAATGGTTTGTTGCTGGGTGTTATTCTAGTACTGGGGAAGCTTAGGCAGGATTGTGTAGCCCAACTTGGGCTTGCTTGATTTTAAATTGAATGGAAAGAACAATTGGTCAGAATGCCTCTGGAAGGCTGCTTGACATAGCTTTGACAGGTCATGCGTGGCTGGGGGACAAAGTACTTACTGAAGATGACAGTGACAGACAGCACAGCTATTTTTTCATTTGACAACTACTAGCTAATGTTCACATTTCTTTTATTTGTTGGTAGGAGGAGTCAGTTTTAATTTCAAAGGAAAACAGTGATGTGGAATGTTCTGAAGCTATAGAAAGATGGAGACATCTCAGTACCTCTCACAGATTCCAGCATGGCCAGTATGCAGTTTGAGACAAGCTGTACTCTTCTAGTCCTGAGTAGAACTTACTGATAATCATAGCTTCCTCAATGGGTGTAGATTATTAGTGAAGCTAGCAAGACTAACAGAAAAGCCCATCTCTTCAAGGGAACAAGTCTGCTGTTAACTTAGAATAACACTTGGAAGGTAAGCCAGGTGGTGGTGGTAAACCTCTTTATTCCCAGCACTTGGGAGGCAGAGGCAGGCAGATCTCAGTGAGTTCAAGGCCAGCCTGGTCTACAGAGCAAGTTCTGGGAAAAAAAAATGTTGGGTAGCCTACTAGTCTTATAATTTTAATTGTTGGTCACTATTAAAGTTTATATTTTGATAGTACTACTGTTCAACCTCATTTTTCCCCTGCTTTGACATCTAAGAGCCTTCTGTCTTGAGTAAAAAATATTAAAAGGAAATCAGCTCCTTTCAGCTTTTTATCACAACTGTTGTATGACTTACAAATATAGGAATGTGGCTATTTTCTATCCAAGTAGAAAGCTAGCGAGACTGCATATAGAATGGGAAAGCACTTGATGTGAGGAATCCCGTGATGCTTCCAACTGAGTTTCTCCAACTCATCTCATTAAATGTTTAAACGGGGTGGGGAAGAAGATGGATATGCACAAAAAGTCTGTCCACAGACAACATCACAAGCCAAGAGGAGATGTATGTAATCACACCACAGCTCTGTTATTTGAGGGGCCTGGAATTCCATAGGCAGAGGGTGTCTCTGTGTAAGCACATGTAGGAAATAAAGTGAATGTCAGAAAACCTGTGTGTGTGTGTGTGTGTGTGTGTGTGTGTGTGTGTGTGTGTGTGTATCCTGAAATATGACTACAGTTCTCGTCTGTTTCTTTCTCTGAAGGTCAAAGTCACTGCCATTATGTGACTATGTGGACACGGGCCCTAGGGCTTTCCATGTCCACCAGATTTTGTTGACTATCATTATGGGTCCTGAATAATTTCTCCCTTTTAATTCAAAGTGATTATTTGAGGCAGGATCTTGCTGTTTAGACTAGTCTGGCTTTGAATTCTCATTTTTTTTCTCTTGGCATTCCCAGGGCTGAGATGACAGTGAGCATTTATTACACGCTGAATAAAAAGTTCATTAAAAAGGAAAAAAGTAAACTGGACTCTGGGCTTTTATGCACATCCTCCAAACCAAGTTTGATGATTTGTTTTCTCTCTCTCTTTTTTAACTATCACATCTAACCTATATGGGATGTGTTAGTTTAAACATATAAGTGAAGCCGAAGCTGACCCAGAATATACTGCCAAGTTTGAACACAGGCAAAGGACCAGTTTCCTTCAGGCCTTTCTTTGTTTGGATCTAGTCTCTTCTATGGGAGGTGGTATTCATGGCTGGTGTAAACCAAAGCGTACAGCATGCCCTTTTCCTTCGAAAAAGGAAAAAGTTGATTTTGAACTGACATTCAAGAAAAATTCTTAAAAAAAAATTCTTCAAGAATTTAATCATAACTCTTTGGGCTGAAATACTGCAATGGTATTTTTCTGACCCAGACATTCCTAAGCTGTTGATGTAGTTCAGAAGGCCGCCTCCCTAAGTGGCTTAACATGTGTGAAATGGGTGATCTGACACAAAGCTCAAGTATTTCCTAAGATGCCTTTTCTGAGTGACCTCATTCATATGCATTAGCATCAGCGATGACTTGAGAATAAATTAATTCTGCCACGCAGCTAAGCGAGAAAACATCTTTACAATGTCCAGGGCAGTTTGGATTCCAGATGCTGACTTCTCTCCCTCTCCAAACTGCACTGGTGACATTTTCTCATTCCAGATGAAATAGTGATGATATTACATATTCCAGGACACAAACTTATTTTCCCAGAAAAATGTGTGCATGTCCTGGACACTTCTGACTACAGCTGCACACTGTTTCTGGGGTGGTGATGGTGGTGGAGCAAGCATGGCTTTTTTTCTTTTGTAAACCATGAAATCTAGTCTTTTTCATACTCTTAACTCCAAACCACACTACTCAAGCTTGCTGCTTCAAACAACATTATACAAGAAAGGATGTATGTGTGTGTGTGTGTGTGTGTGTGTTTGAGACAGCTGTTACTGTGTTCTTCATCTACACAGGAAACACATACACACACACAGACAAAAAAAAAAAAAAAAAAAAAAAAAACCCATCAGGTATCATTTCACCTTAAATGTTTTCCCTAGTTAAAACAGACACTAAAATTAGGGACTGTATAGGGAGCCCAGCCACATCAAGGACCAGGCATGGTTTGGATCCCCTGTATCCAAGTAAAAGCCAGGCATCGCAGCACTGGAGCCCAGTCTAGATGAACTGGTGATCTCCAGGTCATTGAGAGACCTAGCTTCAAAAATATAATGCAAAGAACAACTGAGGAGGACACTGGACAGACAGTGACCTTTGGCCTCCCTACAAACAGGTACACATATGTACACACACACACACAAATAATTAAGGTCTTTTAGAAATGAAAAGCGAACCAATTTTAACGTTAGAATCCAACCAACATGTGAATTCTGTCTGTGCCTATCCATTTCCTTAGAACCACACTATGAAGGCTTTTCAAGGTTTTTGAGAAAAATTACAAGGGATGAATAATGGGAGATGAATAAAAATGTCATCCAGGGTTTGAAAGGATTATCTGTAGCCCTTGCAGCCTCAGGTTTTATTACTTTTACTTCTCTAAATCCCACAAGCTGCTTCTCAGCCTGGAGAGCAACCAGCTCACTGAACAGGATCTCTGACAGCTTTATTCACAGTTCACACCAATGCCCCTTTACTGCCTGTCTCCCATACATTAAAGGCTGTGCTTGGTGAGTTTACAGCCTATTTAATCCTGTAGTCACTCTACCTGGGGCGGCTGGGGCTTTTGTAGAGCCTCCTTGGAATTCAGATGACAACCCTGACTGGCTCCACTAAGCCCCGCCCCTCCAAATGTCTCCTTCCACTCAGTAAAGGGGCAGCTTTGACTCTCATGGTGCTCCTGGTCAGTGACATTGACTCCTCAGAAAGTCTGCATTTCCGAACCACCAGAAAGTTTTCTGTTTCTGCTGTCAGATGGTAACAAAATATGGGATGGTGCTACCTACGTGAGGGCCTCCGACAACAGCATGGATGCTATTTCAATGATGATACATCACACAACAGCATTTTACTTTAGCATTCATCCAACATTCTATAACACAGCAACATATATCATTATATCATCTGGTCATCAAAGACCTCGTGTGGATCAAAATGAAAGCAAACTGAGGCTAAGATCTGAGTACCATTTTTTTTTTTTTAACTGTTTATTTTCCTGAGACAGGGTCACTCAGGGTAACCCTGGATATCCTAGAACTTACTCTACACCAGGCTGGCCTGGAGCTCAGATTGGACTGCCCCATCTTCCCCCAAGTGCTGAGATTCAAGTATTGTGTTTTTTAAAAAGAGGAAAATGTCAGTTTACCTGCATAGGGCCTCGATGGCATCTCTGTCCAAGAAATCATGTTCTCTCTTGACCAGAGAAATATCAATAGGGAACAGGAGATCTGTAGGGAGAAAAAAGCCAAGTATAGTTGAATGCCTAGGGTCTTGCCCAATTAGTCTCTTTCCAGCGATGTGTTGAGTATCTATTGTCCTCATTCCTTGGCAAGCAATGCAGGTGCAGGCAACAATTCCACTTGTGGCTTAAACCAGTTCTAAAGTGGTTTAGGAACTCCAAGTTGTTTCTCTGCTGCAGAAGTGGTTCAAAACACTCTCCACCTTCAAACTAATTGTCAGGCAGTGAATGCCTGCTCTAAGTTATAATTTAAGCCAGAATGAATCCAGTAAGGAGTAATGGGCTTAAAAAAAAAAAAAAAGTGCTCACAAGTCATTAGGGAAGGGGCCACAGGAAAAACAAAAGCAACCCCCAAAACAAAACAGAACCAGGGCTAGGAAAGATTCAGGGAACAATGGCAAAGGGCCGCTGGAGGGACTGGTCCATTTACATGATAGGATATACAGCAGAGAATTCAAGATATGCTATTTTAAAACAAATATCAGCACTTCCATATGGTGGCCAAGGGGTTAACTCTCTGTAAAACAAAGGACTAACTAAACAGATTCTGTAAGACAATAGCAACCAAGCCCCTAAATCTGGGAGAGTTCTGTGCTCCCAGAACAATGAACCACTGAAAGTAGGAAGAAAGTCCCTGTACTGCCTGAGGAGAGTGAAACAGTGGTTACAAGCCTAGGAACATGGGAGTCTCCAGGGGGAGGGTTAAGGAGGGATGGAAAGGGATGAAGAGGGATGGAGAAAGGAAGCTGGCTAGGTTCGGAGGGATAACGACTAAAGCTATGGTGTTACTAAGATATCTACTCGTGACCACGATTTTATTTTTCAAATTGGTTAGTGGACAGAGGATTGAGTGTTCCCCCCAGACAAAGCAGTAATAATAATAAGTATTTGTGATGATAGCTTGGGGATTGCCCTGTTCCGATTACTACATATTATAAACATATAATATATACATCATGCCTTACATATGATTACTGTGTGTCAACTGAAAATTGTAAAAAATTAAATATGCTTCTTAGGTTCAGGATTTTGAATTAAATCCCATCAATTAGCAGACATGATGGCACACACCTTTAATCATAGCAGAGGCAGGCAGGTCTCTGTGAATTTCAGGCCAGCATGGTAAACATAGAGGTTTCAGACCAGCCATAATTATAATGAAAGCCTGTGAATAAATGTATCCAACAGAACAGAGAAGAGAAAGACTACCAGGGATGATGGAAACATGACAAAAGCTCTGAAATTCCACTGAGTAAAGGTGATTCATCCCTGGGTGTAGTCCAGCTATGAATACTGATAAATGGCCTTCCCAGTATAAGGCATAAGGCACATACAGTGTCCCAACTTTGTGCTTCTTTGTGGAAGCACCAAGGAGCGGAAGCCATCATGCCAACTGGGTCATCAACATCATCATCATCACCACTATCATCATCATCACCATTATCTCATCATCATCCCCATATTATCATCATCTCATCACCACCACCATCATTATCATCATCATCACCATCATCTCATCATCATCCCCATCATATTATCATCATCATCTCATCATCACCACCATCATTATCATCATCATCATCATCACCATCAACCACACAATTCCCTTGTTCTTTAAAATAGAAATGCACTGCTGGGATAGACATGGCAGGGTTGGCAGCTGCCACATTAGTCACACCCTTGTCCCTGAGTTGACTTCAATGTTCCTAACTTACAATCGTTGGTTTTACAGAACAGTACAGACATCTGCCCATTTTCTAAGGACAACATTACAGCATCTTTTCAAAAACAATGGTGAAAGCTACCTCAGTATTAGTTTACAATCTGCTCTTTTTTTTTTTTTTTCCCTGAAGGCCAGAGTTGGATTACTCTTACCCTGACTGATAATCTATGCAGTCCAAAGACACAGTTACAGCTCAATGGCCAATGAAGATCTGTATAAGAGTTAGTATTCTAAGCTTATATCTCTTCATCGGTAGACTGAGGGATGGCTAGTGACCACACAGAGAAGTCTAACAGTGAATATGAATGCAAATTACTAAATAGAACCAAGGTCACAAAGCCTATCCCTTAGGGACATAGACTCTATTAAACAATAAGCCAAGATCAGAGAGTATTTTTTAGAAAGTATATAACATAAAAATCTATGAATGTAAATGGAAAGTATTACTTCCTTGCCTGTTATGCATATGTGAAAAAGCAATCATGCTATTTTAGCCATTTCTAAGTTTCTGGGCTGTACTTAAAGCCACTTTTCAGATCCAAATGAACCACAATTCAGTTTTTAGAAACACCCAGTAATGACTGAGGAGTGCAAGCATTCAATCAAGTTTTTTTTTTTTTTTTTCATATTTGCTTAGATTGTTTATTGAAGGATCTGATGGGTAGAAGTGGTCTGAACCCAACTTCCAGCTTGAGTTTAGCAGGAGAAGTGAAAATAGGCAGGCACCAAATGGAGTTAATCAGGAAGGTGAGGGGTCTGTGGGCTGTCACGCCATCCAGTGTGTGTGGCTTGTTCACCTGGCATAGGGGCAGAATGAGGTGGGAAGTGACTGCCCAGAACGTGGCACAGCACATCCCAGAGTCCGCCTATGCTTCAAATGACTTGGACAGGTGCGGGGGATACCAACCAGGAGGATGGACTCTGCACTTTAGGACTGTGAAAGTAAGACAGGGGCTGGCAATTGGATTTACCAAAATCAACAGGCACACAAAGGTGCCACCCAGCAGCCAATCAACACTCCAAAAGGACATAATTGAGGGAAATTTAATCTTAAACAGGAAAACAAAACCCCAGCCACTGCAAATCCAATTACCTTTCCCTAGCATCAGGAGAACTGTAAATTAGCAAAGCAACAAGGGCTGCTCCTGTTTCCACCTCCAAAGCCCTTTAAAAGGTCAGAAGTTCTGTCTGAAGGTGAGCATCTCCACCACCACGTTAAGCACAGTGTCAGAAATCAAAATAAAAGAACATGAAATTGCATATATGTTGGGAAATTGAGGGACAGAAAGCTATTTCAGAATGCAAAAGTAAATAATCACTGAGTGCTACCAGCAGACTATGTATTAATGTTAGGAATCACTCCATACCTTGCTTGATTTGAAAATAGAATTATCTATGAAACAAGAGCCTTCACCCCTGTGTTCTAGTGTCATTGGTATTCTGTACACTACCAAAAGAAAAATGTTTGTGACTAATCCAGCCACAAACTCTTTGATCTATAATGGTGTTCCTGCCTGCAGGGAATGCTGGGCAATGGCAGCACAAAGCTCACTCCATGAAATGGAGCCCATACCCGACATTGCTTGGGTAACCAAGATCTGAGACTAGAGAGCCCAGGGACCTTGGGTAAAATCAAACTACTGATCTAAATAAAGAATTAAAAACAAAACAAAACAAAAACAAAAACCTACAGCAATAGAAGTACCTCTAATGACACTCTGCTATACCCATAAATCAGTGGCTTGCTCAGTTATCATCAGAGAAGCTTCCTCCTGCAGCAAATGGGAACAAATACAGAAACCCACAGCCAGACATCCAGCCAGGCTGGAAGACTCAGCCCTAAATGGATGACTGCTGCTCCCTCCAGGTTCCTGCCTTGAGTTCCTGCTCTGACACTGAACCCTCCCCTCAGGACCCAGGGAACTCTGCAGTAGAGGGTCAGAAAGAGCTCAGCTGGAGAGAGGGAGGGAGAGAGGGAGGGAGGGAGGGAGGGAGGGAGGGAGGGAGAGAGAGAGAGAGAGAGAGACCATGAAGTGGAGAGAGGGAGGGAGAGAGGGAAGGAGGGAGGGAGACAGGGAGAGAGAGAGAGAGAGAGAGAGAGAGAGAGAGAGAGAGAGAGAGAAAGAGAGAGAGAGCATGAAGTTGGATGGGTAGGGAGGTGGGGAAGGATCTGGGAGGAGTTGCTAGAGGGGAAGAAAACATGATCAAAATATATTGTATAAAAATTAAAATAAAATTTTAAATCTTCAAAAAAGAAAATTGTCTATAGAATGGAGTTCACTATTTCAAAGCTGTGGTTATTATAAACTAATTTCATATACAGATAATAGGTCTCCCATATTCATCTCAGTGGATGCAGAACACTTGCTACCAGCCTACAGAACCAAAAACTATGAGAATCAGTTAGACATGAGTGTTCTTTCTCAGTCCCTAGTATCATGTCACATTGACACAAGCCAGGGTCTGTAGGAATAGAGAGCCACAATTGAGAAAATGCCTCTTATCAGATTGGCCTGTAGGCAAGTCTGCATTGCATTTTCTTGATTACTGATTGATTTGGGAGGGTCCAGCCCACCATGGGCGGGCCCGCCCTTAGGCAGGTGCTTCTGGGTACTGTAAGGAAGTTAGCCAGTAACCAGCATTCCTAAATGGCCTCAGCTTGGTCTTCCCTCCAGGTTCCTGCCCTGACTTCTCCTGGTGATGGCATGTAAGCTGTCAAGATGAAATAAACTTTTCTCTGCAAGTTGCTTTTGGTCTCCTTGTTCATCACAGAGACAAAGGAAGCAAACTAGTCCAGTGACCTTTTTTTTTTAAACTTTAATTTTCCTTTTCTGTTTTGGTGTGTATTGGGAAAGCTAGAGCATACACTCTGGGAAAATGTGAAAAATGGAGTGTGTGCGCATCACCTATTATTACTCAGAAATCTTATTTCTTGGCTCATGCAAGTTAAATTATTATGCAGGTGTTATAAAAGATAGGTACATCAATGTTCAAAAGTAACAGTTTACAAAAATAAAACTACTGAAGTGCCCAGCAAGCAGAATAGTGATGGAATGATCTTCAATCCATTTGATGAGTATTACACAGTAAAGAAAATGAGCCATAGGGAAACACAGGTTAGAGGAACCTTAATATAATATCATATGAACAGATTAAATCTACACAATACCCTTTTTTTTCTTTACAAAGCTAGACTTTACACAAAATATACCTTTCAAGAACTTCATTAAAATTACAAAAATTGAGAATATGAAAACCACTAAGTGAAATATTTAAGTAATAAAATATCTCCAAATAACTCCTAGATCCATGAAGTTATAACTATGCTGACATAGAATACAGTGGCATCCTCGCCTTACCTTCATAGAGCTGTGCATACTGGGGGAATCCAGTTACCCTCAGCCAATCGCAAGCTTCCTTAGCTTCAATTTCTAGAGACAAACAGAAGACGAATTTGTTAGCCATGTTATCCCTCCATGTGGTTTTCATGCATTAATAAATGGAATCTATCAGACAAATAAAACACAACTTCTCTAAAACAATATAAACTATATATACTGATAGGCAAAGAAATTGACGAATAGTTCACTTCACACCAAATGGCTTACATTTTAGACAAATTCCATCTTTCAAAATGAATGTAATAATCTGTTTTCTCTCTAAAGAAAACAGAAGGGGCTGGGGCTGTAACTCAGTGGTATATATAGCCATGCCCATGGACCCAGGATTGATCCCCAGTGCTGCAAAAATAAAACCAACAAGCAAAATCCAAGATGGGTTCCCAGAAGTAAGTTACTCAGTGCTGCTTCCAGACACGCTTCTGAAACACAAAGCACTATGAGTGCAGAAGGAGTAGATAGAATAACTAACTGGAAGTCCAGTTGGTCTAACAAGGTCCGTTATCTTCTGCTTCAACAACTCACCTAGAGTCGAACTTGACTGGGCATAGTCACAGCCCTTGTGCTGCCCGGGAACTGGGCATTTTAATAGCAAAGACTAGGACAAATTGCCTTAAGGAGCAGCCAGGTATTCATCTGTAGGAGAGAGCCACAGGCTGCCTCAGAAAACTGAGGGTATGATGTCACTGAATCCCAACATCTTGGCAGGCTAACTGCCTAATAAAGGCTCCACTTCCCTGTGGTTAAACATCTTGTAGATAGTATTGATAAACAGAGAGGCCAAGAGCAACTGACACACTGTGTTAAAACTCACTCAAGCACATATTTACAATCCTGTTAAAACTGACTCACAGCGGTGGTCCTGGACACATTAATTAGTTTCTGTGTTTGCGAAAAGAATATTCCTTTCAACTCCTTCCCACCTTCTCCGGGCCATTAGAGTACTTGGTTATTTAAGGCTATTCACTTTATAGAAGTCTCAACATTGCTTAATCAACCCCAGATTCCCATGTTCATTAAGCCAGATGTCAATCTGGTGGCCACTATTACAAATATACACATCATATTATTTTTGTCTACAAAAACGTGAAGGTTTCCAACATTTTGTTGTTGTTTGCTTGTTTTTGTTTTTAATTTTAACTTATTCTTTTCCTTGTCCTTTCAAGAAGAGCAACTTTTAAAAACTTTAATTTATCAAAGCAGGTAGGAATATTGTGATCAGGCACACCAAGGAGCAACAAGCTGTGGATTTCCAAGTGAGTTGATATCCAGCTGAAATAGGGGTAATAGGTTCTTTTCCTGAGTCATTAGTGTAGAGATGAAAGCAGCAATGGCTATGCACAAGATTCAAGGCCAGGCAGGGAAGAGGCTAGAGGTGGTAGGGATGTGGAAGGGCTTCGTTGCTTGCCCTGGGTAAGATATACAGATATGAGTTACCCAAACAGTCTTTTTTCATGAATTTGTTTTGTGTGTATGCTGTGGGCATGTGTCCTAAGGGGTAAGAGGTGGAAGTCAGAGGACAGTTTGTGTTTCCCTAATTACACCATACAGACCAGAGACAGATCTCAGACCATCAGGCTTGGTGGTGGCAACCACCTACTGAGCCATCCTGCCAGAGCATGCACATGCATGTATGTATTTATATCATATATTTAAATATATACTAAATATATATATTTAATCCATGTCTTGTCTTCATAAGGGATTAGGGAAGTTTTAAATAAGACTGTAAAACAGCTTCTAGAAGAGTACTGTAATAACAAAAAATATGAACTCTTAATGTTTTATTTAAAAGACTATGAAAATCACATTTTCCCTCTGCCTTCCTGAGTCCCAAATATGACCACAGAGAGAGAGAGAGAGAAAAAAAAAGGCTGCTTGTTTTTTTTTTTTTTTCAGAAAAGTGTTTCATTTTTTAAATTATTTCCTTTATTTTTGGAAATTATATTCTACTGTTCCCCTTCCCTTCCTTCCCTCCAGTACCTCTCAAATAACCCTCCTTGCTCTCCGACAAATTCATGGTTTTTAAATAAGCATCTTATGTGTATGGGTGTTTTGCCTGCATGTGTAGATGTGCCCTGCGCATGTGTGCTTGGTACCTGGGTGATCAGAAGGTGTCATATTCCCTGGATCTAGAGTTAGAGATAACTGTGAGCCACCATGTGAGTGCTGGGAATGAAACCTGGGTCCCCTGAAAGAGTAACAAGCACTCTAAACCACTGGGCCATCTCTCCAGCCCCAAAAACTCACAGCCTCTTAAAAACAAATTTCAAATAACTCATTGTTTCTGTGTTCTTAGAGAGTATTTACAAAAAAACAGACTGTTGGACAGTGGATAATAGATAGTTAAAGAGTAATGTTTGCATTCTTATTATTCCCCTTAAAAAGTGCCAAGTAACTAGAAATTCTGAGCATCTGTACATTTTTTGGGGGGCACATGAAGACAGGGTACCAGGTCAGTGCCCATACAAAGGCTTCATCAGGCACCAACTCATAAGATTCTGACACCCAGGCCAGGTGGCGGTGGTGCACACCTTTAATCCCAGCACTTGGGAGGCAGAGGCAGGCAGATTGAGTTCAGCCTGGGCTGTTACACAGAGAAACTCTGTCTTGAAAACCTAAAAACAAATAAGCAATACAAAAACAGAGATTTCGACACCTATTTATAGTGTGTTCTTATTTTCTCGTTCATGTGAGTTAATGTTGAAAGGTGTGAAAGTGGCAATGTATTTTTCTGCTAATATAATCCTTGACACATTATAAGAACTGTTCACACACATTAATCACTTAGGGTTCTGTGTGATTTTAGATCCAGATGTCTATAACTGGCCTGTGTCTCAGTTACTTCCTCTCATGAAGAACATGGTTTATTCTCCATATAACTCCAAATTGATGCCACTTAGTCACTTTTTAGGGCTTCTTGGTTAGAAAAGAATAATGTGAACTGGGAAGACCACTCTTTCTCTAAGAGCATTAGCTCTGCAAGCATGAGGATCTGGGTTCAAATCCCAGCACCTGTGTAAAACCACACAGACAGGTGGATCTGAGGAACACAAGACAAGCAGAGCTTTCTTTCCATACATCAGTCCATCCCCTCACACTGATCCTAACACATGCTCACATCACCCTCAAGATAAAAGATCCTGAAAGATGGGCAGAAATTGTCAAACAACTCTCCTTAAAAACAGGTTCCATGTCCCAGGGGAGACAGGAAACAGGGACTCCCAGAATGCTCCTTTGTGTAGACTTTTCTTTTTTGGGGTGAGGGGGGATGTGGTAAGGGAAAAAAGTTTAAGGTATCGAAGAAGAACCAGGGAGATGGGTGTGGGTAAACAGTGGTCTTGTACAAGTCTGATTACCTGAGATCCATCCTGGAGCCCATGGTGGACAGAACCAATGTCTGAAAGCTGCACTTTGACCTCTACATACACACAGTGGTGTGTGTATGCATATGCACATGCACAAATGCATACACGAGCAAACACACACATGCACACACACACACACACACACACACACACACACACACACACTCAGAGAACACCACATGCCTGTGAACAGTCACTTTAGCATCTCCCCAGCTCACTGTAAACTCTCCTCCCAACTGGCTCTAAAGTAGAGCTTTCCTTGAGTGCAGGTGCATGGTGTTGTGAGCTCAATGAGGACGGTGTTTTTCTAAACAGAAAGGCTGCCACAGACTTGAAAGTACAGTATAGGAGGGGTTCTGCTAAGCAAGCAGCAGACAAATATGTCAAGGAGGAAACAGGAAATTTGTCTTGGAGGCAGCTTAGTTGTTGGTCATTCACAGAGCGGTCTGCACATGAGATGAATGGGTGTTGAGACCCTTTGTGCATGGCTGGGAACCTGTAGCCCATATTTACACATTTCCTGGCTGGCTCGGATGCCCCTTATCTTCTACCCATGACACCTTTAACTGTAAGTCTTCCAACTTTCCCGGAGCCAGTAGTCATCCAGCTAATGAGCTCTGCCAACCTAAACAGGCCAAGCAACAGCTCAGAAGTTTAAGTGGGCTGTGATACTTTCACAGTGGGAATTTGTGAATTACCTTTTCTTCTTTCCCTATATGCCCACCATAAGGCTACAGTAAATCTGTTTCTTCAAAGAAATGCTAAGGAATTAGGGAATGCTATGAAAATGCGAGCCCTTCCCTCAATTCTGTGCAAGTCATTCGATAAGACAGGTTTGTGGGCAAAGGTTTATGTGTACAGAGAGCTGCTCTAGCCATGGGCAGGCAAGCAGGGCTTTCAAATCCAAACCAAGATTCATTCCTGCCCCTGGGTGATATGGATTCCTTCAAAGGGAAGAAAGGGCCAGCTTATCAGGCTCTGGCCACCAGGTCAAGGAGGTCAGCAATGCACACAATGGCTTTAGTAACAGCAGCCCACCTTCACTTTGTGGGTGGGGCTCATGGGGTGGGTCATCTGGAGAAGCATCCAGGTCCACAAATGAGTACAGGAGTACAGTACGGTGATAAGGCACCAGGGACCACAGTGATTTTCAGTCCCCCTTGGTGGGAGCCCCTGCCTTGGGGACTTCCTACAAATCCAAAGACCATCCAGTCCTGTATTTTCAGACTAGTCTCATCGCAGCATGGACAACTTATTTGACAAACACTTTCTAAGCAACGTAAGTGTAGGCACGACTGACTCCCCTAGGAGTCACACAGTAACTACCCACAAGCCCTTAGTGCAGTGGTTCTCAACCTGTGAATTGTGACCCTTTCACAGGAGTCACCCAAGAATGCTGGAAAACATAGATGTTTACATTATGATTCACGGCAGTAGCAAAATTAGAGTTAAGAAGTGGCGGTGGAAATGATTTTTTGTTTTGGGGTCACCATAACATGAAGAACTGTATTAAATAAAGGGTGACGGCACTAGGAGTGTTGAGAACCACTGCCCTAGTGTACTCTTTTGCCCTGGATTCTGCCTCTGAATACAACAGCTCTTGGTGAAACCCCTCCCCCTCCCCAACCCCAACAAGATCCATTCACTACCTAGACTGGTTTTCAC